CGCCTGATGAGCTGCAGCTGTGACCGATCAGCCTGTGATGAGGATGGCCAGGTGTTCCTCGCTTGTTTCCAGGGCGACGCTGATGCAGCTTCGGGACGCTCGTCACACTACATAAACATTTAAACTAGTCTAACATACACACGCACACACACACATGCATACAGCTGGCATAGGAAAAGGGGTTAAAGCTTAAGCAGTAAAGAGAAGAGAAATAAAGAGATGAAGCTATGGTACAATTTGATATTCAGCAGATCTTCAGCCTGAAGGAAACATCAGTTTCTTAGTTTAAACACACCTTTTTAAAAGTGCAACTGATATTTAATGTACCAATTAATAAGACTAAGTTTGATACTTGCACGTCTTGTCTGTCTGAAAGAGAGTCCTGATGCAATCTGAAGGCTCAAGTTGATCTTTGCTGAAGTTGGTTGATGAAAAAGAACCAGTTTGAGTCAAAGGATCTTGACGTAGAAAGACTAGGCCGGAGCCTGGCACAAGCTTAGGTTGGGTTCTTGAGGAATAGTTCTAGCTCACATCCTCAGCAAAGCAGGTCACTCAAGTGAGGCCTTTTAAGGTCTGTGGAGGTCAAACCTCTCGGTGGTCAAAGAGCCAATGGTGACTTGAACTTTTGGAGGGAAAGTTTATGACTCTTTGTCTCCAAGCATGGCAATTTGCATATCTAACTGTATTGGATGTTGATGCAAAGACTACTAAAGATTCTTAGAACACTAATATGTTGCATAAATATCAACATATCATATAAACGCTCATTTAGATCATCAGAAGACAAATTCAAAGAGACCAAACATGGTATCGGTGGGGTTATATTAACTAGTGATCTATCATAACACACACACAACACAGTATACAATTGAAATACAAGACAATATACAAGAACAGTAATGGTATACACAATGTCCTGAGGAGATGTGTTCATTCGCAGAAAGGTTTTTTCCATGAATTAATTAGAGAAGAGTAAATTTTTTATAGGCATTTTGTGTCTTTCCTAAGGGTAAATGAATTGAGAGTTGCTCTGCCCGCATTCCTTTGAGCAATAAAACCAGTGTTATCAGCATCGGTTGTCATGGAACCAGAGGCCTGTTCTGCCTTTTTGAGGCGTTAGCTGCATTTCGGGAGAAGGGTACATTGAGCCCTCATAGTTGTCTTGTTGATTGAGGGGTGTTACGGAGTATTTGTTAAATATAACAAAAACAAATTGTGTCTGATTGGTCCAGACGCTACAGTTTATGCATAGAGTTAGAGCTGATGTGTTAGGCATACTGTATAAGAAGCACACTTTACATAATCATTTTAAAGCTTATTTCCACCATGAAATATAAAATATAAGAAAGGTAACTGTGAATTTTTATATGTGACTTTATTTCTCTCTCTCAGAATTCGGAATTTACATCTTGCAATTCAGACTTTTTACTCAGAATTCTGAGTTTACCTCTTGCAATGTACTGTTCCCTGGAGAAAACACCCTAGTGATACACCATGCAATTTCACGCTTTCCATTTTACCCCCAGCTGTAGAGACTCACTAAAACAGTAATATTTTATATCAAACATCTGTAGTGTAAGTGGTGTAATCTATAATATCGCTCATTGCAACTAAAATACTTGAACACTTACATCACTTTTTTAATTAACTTTTTTACCGCCTATATGAGAAACGCCAACTACCTACATTTTTGAATAACTCTAATAACTTACTTATGCATACAATTCACTGCAGTTTCCAGCTGAAATGAACACGTGTGGCAGTAAAACTCCAATAACTTTTATTCCTTTACACAAATTATGATTTCTCACAATTCAGACATTTTTTCTCTCTCAGAAAAAAGTAGGCTATGCTTTTTTTTTTTCCCACAGAAAATGACAGATCGTTTTGCTAGAAAAGAGCTTTATTCTTCAGCTGGGTTCATGCAGTCCTTTAAAACAGCACTGAAACTGCAATTTGGAACTTCAACCCGTTGCCTCCCATTGGAGTCCATTATATGGAGAGAAATACTGGAATGTTGTACCTCAAAAGCCTTAATTTCTTTTCAACCGAAGAAAGACATCTTGAATGACATGGGGGTGCGTAAATTATCAGGACATTTTTATTCTGCAGGTGAACTAATCCTTTAATACCAGGTGTAAACAGGGTCTTAAATCAGAGCAGGAAGTCCTACATATATTAATTTCATTAAATGTTACGTGCATAGCAAAAAAAAAAACAAATACGAATAAATAATAATAATGATATCTTCTTCAGTATTTTTGTTTTGCTAAAATTAATATCTAAACATCCTCAAAAAAAGATCTATTTACTTAAAGCAAATGTAAAATGTCTTGAACAAAACTTAGTGAGCTTATGCTTAAAACAATACCACATGTCAGTCAGTAAGGTACAAAAGCTTTTCCCCTTGAAATAGGTTTATTTTTCTGAGCCACTGGCAGATATTTGTTCTTGCTTTAATCAAATTTACATTCATCAAACCTGCAGAAACCTTGGTATAGTATACTGAATAAAAATATTGTCAAGAAACAAAACAAATTTTAGAGTTAAGCAACGCTCAATTAATGTTTCCCGACACTGCTTATAGCATTTTTTTAAAAAAAATTGTGTGTCTGATTGGTCCAGATGCTACAAGTCTACAAAACAAGACCTTCTCCACTTATACAGGGAATTAGGTAAATTAAGTGGACAAAATCCATGCCTGAAGGGCAGGACATCCAAGTTATAAAACCTGGTGAATGTAGATGGGGAAGACCAGCCAGAGGCTGTACACATATATCACCAATAGAAACTCTGCTGGACCAAGCCCAGGAGGAGGCCATTCCCCTGGTGGAGTGGGCCCCAACTCCAATAGGACACTGTAATCCCACCGAGGCTATAACTCTCGGCCATCAACTCTCCTGCAGGATAGTCTGTGCTTCGTAAGTGGCAGCCCTTTAGAGTGATCTCCAAACCATACAGAAAGCTGCTCTGAATGCTGGAAGTGGCTAGAGCACTCTACATATACTTTACTATTGCATACCTTTCAAATTTGCTTACAGAAAAAAACGAGAGCAGCAGCAGTATGGTGTAAAAATATTTATTTGAAACATGTATTTGCTACTCGCCACCTTATCTCCACTCTTTCTTTCATTCTTTTCATGGCTTTGGAAAACTGGCATCGGATGTTTCTCCACGTCACTTTGCATAACTCGTGCTTCGTTGCAATTTCTTTCTAGGAATTAAATGCTTTCTC